AGGTCCAGGTGTAACAGAAGTGGGATTGGAGTTACCACTGAGAGGCCTAGCAAAGTGGCAGAACCAGTGTTGGCAGGGCCATGCTGGGGCTATCAAAATGACCTGGTCCTGGTCCCGCTTGATCTTTAGAAGTACTCTGTGTACAAGCAGGACAGAGGGGAAAAAGTGTAGTAAAGGTGTTCCATCCACAGTATCAGAAAGGCATGTGTGATAGACCCTGGACTGTGGCTTCACAGAGAGCAGAATTGGTGACACTTTGTTGTACTGGATTGCAAATAGGTCTATCTGGGGAGTCCCCCACTGCTGGAAAACATCCCTCACCACATTTGGGTGAAGGGACCATTCATGGTGACTCGAGAAAGTCCTGCTTAGGAGATCTGCCAGCTCATTTTGGGCTCCTGGAAGGTAAGAGGCCTCTAGGTTGACTGAGTGGGCTATACAGAATTCCCATAGTTGTATCACTTCCTGACATAGGCTGGAAGAGTGAGCTCCTCTTTGCATGTTGAGACAGAACATGGCAGCAGCATTGTCCATAAGAACAAACAAATCTCTGCCCGTAATATGCAGCAAGAAAGCCTAGCAGGCCAGGTGAATTGCTCTGAGTTCTTGGACATTGATGTGGAGAGAAAGTTCTTCTGGAGACCAAAGACCTTGAGTTCTGAGGAACCCCAAATGAGCTCCCCATCCAAGTGCTGATGCATCAGAGATTGGGGTCACTGACGGTTGGGGCCATATAAAGGGAACCCATGCACAAATATTGAGCAGGTCCACCCACCAATTGAGGGAGACAAGAACATGAGGGGGCACCGTGAGTACAAAGTCCAGATGGTGGCAGTTTGGTGAGTACACTGAGGCCAGCCAAGTGTGGAGGGGCTTGAGGCGCAGCCTTGCATGCTGCACCACATATGTGCACGAAGCCATGTGGCCTACAAGCCTCAGACAAGTTCTGGATGTTGCGATGGGATGGCCTTTGAGGTGTGCTATTAGAGATGTAGTTGTCTTAAAATGATCCTCTGGAATGTAGGCTCTGGCTTGAGAGCAGTTGAACACCGCTCTGATAAACTGTATCCTCTATACTGGAGAGAGGGTAGATTTCTACACATTTATCAAAAGGCCTAGAGACTTGACAATCGACTAGATGAGCCCAAATCTGGATACTACATGAGCCCTGGACCATCCCTTGATTAGCCAGTCGTCCAGATAAGGGTAGACCTGCACCCCTGCTCTCTTCAGAAGGCTACCACTATCACCATACATTTTGTAAACACCCTCGGAGCTGCACACAGGCAGAACGGGAGTACCATGAAGTGGTAGTGTCTGTGGTTCACTACGAATCTGAGGAACCTTCTGTGACCTTGGTATATCAATATATGAAAATAGGTGTCTCTTATATCAAGGGCAGCGTACCAGTCCCAGGGATCCAGGGAGGGGATAATGGATGCCAAGGTGACCAGGCAGAACTTTAATTTCTTGAGGTAGCTGTTGAGGTGGCGCAGGTCTAAAATGAGTTTGAGACTTTCCTTGGCTTTTGGGATTAGGAAATAATGGAAGTAGAACCCTTTCCCTCTTAAATGCTCCGGAACTTCTTTCACGGGTCCCATCCAAAGGAGGGATTGAACCTCCTGGGCCAGAAGTTCTTCATGAGAGAAGTTCCTGAAATGAGATAGGGAGGGAGGACGGGACGAAGGTGTGGAAGTAAACTTGAGGGTGTATCTCACTTCCACCATTTTCAACACTGAACGGTCCATGGTGATACAGAACCATGCACTGAGAAAGTGGGAGATGTGGTTGTAAACAAAGGAGAAACAGGGTCTGGCATCATGGGAACTGGTATGGCACCCTCAAGTGTCCTGTCAAAAGGCCTGCTTAGAGCCCCCTGAACGTCTAGGTGGGCAAGCACAGACGTTGAGATAGCAAGGGGTGATGGCCTATGCCTAAAACCCTTGCTTCTTTTTCTCTGCAGATCCTGACAGATAGGCGGTACAGAGTACAGAATGGGCTGTTGGGACATGTAATACTTCATTGAAGTCATTGGTGTATACAAACCAAGGGACTTAAGGCTTGCCCTAGAGTCCTTTAACCAATGAAGCTTCACATCAGTCTGTTCTGAAAAGATCAAAGCTCCTTCGAAGGTAGATCCAGAAGGGTTTGCTGGACCTCCTGCAGGAGACTCAAAGACTGTAGCCATGAACTCCTATGCATGGCTACTGCTGTAGCCATGAAGCTGGCCACTGAATCAGCTGCATCCAAAACAGCTTGCAACGCGGCCCTTGCTACTGATTTTCCCTTGTCCACCAACATGGAGAACTCTTGCCTGGCATCCTGAGGGAGCAAGTCCTTGAACTTCTGCATGAGTCCCACGTGTTGAAATCATATCTGCCTAACAACACCTGCTGGTTTGCAATCCTGAAGAATAAAATATTCTACCGAATAAATCCAGTTTCTTAGATTCCTTTGCTTTTGGGTTTTCACTAAAAACTGACTAAACTATTTACAACTATGGTCAGATATGCAAAAAGGAAAAAACTACAGAGCTTGCCAAAGCAAGGATAGCAGTTCCAGTGACCATCATGGGCCGTAAGAAGGAACTGAGGGGCACCGGGTTGGCTGGGCACTTTATACTGGTACTATGAGTGCACAGCACCTGAGGGCGCTCAAGCTGCCCTCACGGGGGTACCACTGAGGGAAAAATTTCTGCTTGGGGCCCACACACATGTGGAGTGGAATGCACATGTGCAATCACTCGAAAAAGAAACCCCAAAAACCTACTTACTGGGTGCAAGTTAGCAGAAACAGGACTCTGATTTCCTGTTCTCCACAACTCTCTGTTACCTGCCTTTTCCATTCTTTACCCGGGACAGCATGGACAGTGAAATTTACAACATGGACAGTAGAGTTGGTCAAAATTTTTCAACTAGAAAATATTTCTGCTTAAAAATAGAATTTATGGGAAAAATGTGACTGACAAAAAAATGCTACAAGAAATTTTGAAGGGAAAATTTCCATTTTGTTGTGAATTGAACCGCACATTTTAAATAGTTTTTTTCTTTTTTTCCCACTGAATACAAAAGAATGAATGATGTCTACGGCTTTTTCTCCACATTCCCCTCTACACCTTTTTCCATTCCTCAACTTTTCAAAACTCCCTCAACTAGGGAAAAGAGAGGAAAAAAGGAAGAAGTGAAAAAAATTGTGAATATTGTTAATTTTATTGCACCCAGTGACACAAAAGAGAAGAGGGGCCGAATTTGGGAAAATGAAAATTCAGTTTTTTCAAAAAAATATTTAACAAAAAGCTTTTTTTAATGTTTGGTTTGAGCCCTGTGAAATGGAAACTTCAAAATTTTTCACGAAATTGTTTTTCAACAAGCTTTAATGGGCAGAATGCTATAGACACTCTGAACCATTGTGTTGTTTAGGTGGGAATTCTCCACTCAGCCATCACTGTATTGAGGGGTGAAAAGCTGCTTCTTCAAAGATTGCCTTTCGCCACACACAAAATCAGGTTCTGATCCTGCAAGGAGCTCCTTGCAGCCTCGGTGCCTAAAAATGTATAAGGTATGATTTTGTTTTGTACGGGTAGAAAAAGTTGTTATTGCATATCTCCTTCTCTCCTCTCCCTACCTGGTTTCCTGTGTGGTACCACCAACCAGGTACAGTTTCCTAAATTCTTCCCCAGCTGACCTTGATTTCTAAATATGGAAAGAGAACTGCCCCAAATTATTATTTAGATCTCAGTCACAATCAGGCCCTCACTGAGGTAGCCATGGGGCAAAAATCGTACAACGTGGCCTCTACTCCAGAGTTTATAATCCAAGGCCAGATCCTGCAAACACCTAAGCATTTGCTTAACTTTAAGCTTGTGAATAATCCCATTGAGTCAATGTTGGATTTGGAACTAAAAAACAAAACACAAAACAAGTGAGGAAACAGGATAACACATACAGGCAAAGTGGTCAGGAAGACAATGATGCACATCTTAATTCCTCCTCCCTTTCAATTTTTAATAAAATATTTTAATTATAAAAACCCAAAGCTTTTTTCTATGTATATTTAACTCCATGTATTCTATTTGGAACTATGAGAAATAATTCTTAAATATTTTGTGTTGAGACCAGTGTCCCACATTTCAACTACAACATAAGATCCCTTAATCCATCTCCCCACAAGAAGGCAGCTCCTCTCATTCTCTCCATTCCCTCTTGCAACGGGATTAGCAGCAATGAGAACAGCTTTTGGAGAAAGCTGTGCTTACATCAACAGGGATGTGTGATGGCCAGCTCCTACTCTGCTTTACTGCTCCTCCAGGGGACAGGGCTAACTGCCTAATCCATCAGACTGCAACCACTAGAGTGGGAGGTAGATCATCCTGAGTATGTGCAGTAGCTGCTGAAGCAGTAGGGCCTAATGTGTTTTTGAAAGAGAAGTGAATAAAAGTTCTAATTAAATTACAGGGGAAAGTCAGACCAACCGAATATGATTAACTGAATTGGAATTACTTCTAGTATTTGTTGTCCAACTTTAAAAATGTACCAAAGGTGCGTGAGAGTGCAAAGATGCTAGAGAAAGAGAGACTTTCAGTAATGCATTCTATCTGCTTCTCATAAGCAAAGTAGGATGAGAAAGGGGGAAACATTTCATAGTTGGTTTTTTTTTAAATGTCCCCTCTTTTGAAATTTGGGGAAAAAAGGTAAAGCATGAAGGACTCTTCACAAGACAAATAAAAGGAGAAAAGAATGATAGAAAAATGTTCTTAGAGTTCTCTCAGGTTCCAAGCAACCAATCCCATAAATTGTCACGCATTAGGTAAGTATTATTAGGACCTAATTAAAGAATGGTAAAAGTCTTCTCTCACCCTCTTTTTAAACATATAAGGGCCTGATGCTGCCATCATCAAAGTCAATAGATTTGTTCCCATTAACATTAGAGGAAGCAGAATTGGGTCCTGAGTATATAATAATTTAATCTCTTTAGGAAGAAAATTTTTTATGAGCACAAACCTGTATGATTTGCTGTAGAGTTCAGTCTCTCTGCTACTACTCGTTTAATTGCATCCAGGACAATGCTCAATTCACGGGATCTTTTTTTATTTTCTTTTTCGGCATATAACAATCTTTGATGAAGTTCCAAAAACTGGCTTTGGTACATGTCTAAGCCACTTCCTGAAATGAAAATGTAAATGGTTTCTTCAGGGAGGGATTAACCATATACTAGAATAAGGAGGGAGTTCAGGAATAGGGGACAGCATGGAAAGAGAATGAAGAGGAGAGTGAAAACAGAAAATAAAAGAGCTGATTCAAGGTTTATTGGTGGAGTGAAGAAGGGGATAGAATGCTAAGAAATAAAGACAGGATTTAGGAGAGCACAGTTATACAGAACCTTGAAAGTGGGGACAAGAAGTCTGAACACAATACTAAGGATGAGGAAGGCAGCAAAAGAAATTGAAGTGGGGGATGGCATAGCCCCAGTGACAGGCAAGGAGGATGATTTCTGGACAGGTTAGAGGAACATGATAAGTAGGAGAGAAAGGTAAGGACATGCACATTAGCAATAGGGATAAAAAGTCACTTGGGTCAGAGTGTAGGTTTGATAGCTGCAAGCTAGGACAAGCATAACAGATCTACAATAGACTAATACACGCTCTTCCTCCAGAAGTGAATTATAATGAAGAACTTCATAGTAATTGGATTCGTTTTTTTTCCATGAAACCCTTCCTTCCAGATTCTTAAAATATATTATACACCCTCCATTGACCACAATCTATGAGAGGAGTCCGTTCACTAACACCCCATCTCCCCTCCCCACAACCCCCCCACACATAGTTTTTCACTTGTGATGTACCGCTGCACTTTCTGGTTTAATCCAAGGCCAGAAGTGAAAGTCCTGAAAGTGGAATTGAAAATCTTTCAAGGGAACCTGTTCCCATGAGACTCACAGCTTAGTTGTACAAATCCAAGAAGTCTGGAAAAGCATCCCTATTTTTGGGTGCTTATCTAAACTGGATCAAAAACCCTCCAGGTTTTTCAAGGCTCATCTATCACTAATAATCATCCAAATATAGAATTTCTTTGAGGCTATCCATGCTGATGGGTCAGATTTATGAAAGGTTTCAGAGTAGCAGCCGTGTTAGTCTGTATCCGCAAAAAGAAGAACAAGAGTACTTGTGGCACCTTAGAGACTAACAAATTTATTAGAGCATAAGCTTTTAAAAAACTTC